TATGTTCAATTTTGCAAACTATGCGCCGAAATCTTTTTCTCTTTGGCTAATTTAAATGCAATTTTCATCGATATGAAGAATGTCATCTTTTCAATTTTTAGTACATGGAAAGAATAGTTTTGCTGAAGTCCTTGAAAATGTAGGTAGATACAGTTCTGAAAATAATTTTGATGGACTTTTTTTAAATTTTTATATTCTAACAATCAGTTTGAGTTTTCTACGTAATTATTTTGATGATCCAACAAATTATTTTCAGATCTGTATCTACTTAAATTTTTAAATACTTTAGTAAAATCTTTCTTTCCGTATATAATCTATTTGCTAAGGTTGTAAGTAAAATTCTAAAAAGTCCAACCATTGTAGAATGTAACTTTCATCGTTTGTTTCCTTTCCTGAAATTTAACACATCTGAATGTTATTGTCGAAGAAAAATGATTTTCAAATTGATTAATTCAAATATGACGAAGGGAACATCCGGTAATTCTAGGAGAGGACCTATGCACACTTAAACAACATACACACAGGTTCCACGCTCGTGCAAATGGATTTAGCGATGCATGGCAGAGGCGAGGAAGGAGAGAGGAACATGATTATTATCCTTGTTAAATCGCACATCGGAAATCGCGTTGCAGGCACCGGCGGTTAGTCGTTATTGCGGCGACCAGGGACGATTAGAGTTTCTCAAGTAAGAAATTGAACAATTTCTAATTTCTAATCTGCCATATTTCTTAGAACCTGTTTAAGATAGAATAAGATAAATATATAAGATATAGAAACAGATGCTTCTATCTTAAGCATGTCCTGAAAAATATGGCGAACCAAATGCATGATGTTCATTCTCTAACTTGAGAATCTCTAGGGACTACAAGTTAGTTGAGCGAGTCTCTTGAGAAGACTCGTGTTCGAGACTTCGAGGGTCGGTTTAATAGAGCCACACTCCTAACGGACAAAGGCCACCTGTGTACCTGGGCGATGCACTGGGAGACGACGTGATCAGGGAGCGCGGGGAACTGCTGCTTCAGCTCGTGGAACAGCTGCATGATAGTGATGTTAGAGCAGTGGCACTCCCCCATCATGGGCCCCCATCCTCCTGACAGGGCCTACCTGCAGGTGCCAGGTATATTATCGTTACATGTCGTCGGTCCTCTACAACTTACTGTCGGACCGATACAAAGTGGTCGGGTTGGTCGTTTGGGCTCTCATTTATGCTAATAACGCGCGCCAAGAGGGATACGCCGCCCCGTCTCTCGCGATATGACCGTAATACCGTCGCGATGACGAGAGAACGAGCCAAGAGTGCTCGTAATAACGCGATCCGGAAGCTTTCCCAGAAACGTGGATATTTTATAATTCATTGGATGCGACGAGTTGGGCCGCATCCAGATCGAATACTCTTCGTCGACTCTGACTCGGAGTGATCTCGACGTCGAGCGTGAGATGAAAATCGCGATAATCGGTGATAGACTCCTTTCGAGTCGATGTGCGACGGAAGGAAGGACGGAAAAACGAGAGAGAGAGAGCGATCGTGGAACCTGACAACCGGAAAATGTGCGAAAAGAGCGATGTGCGATCGCACACATTATTTCTTTTTCAGAGGCGACTTCAGCAGGTGCATTACTCTTGAAACTTGGATCTTCCTATCGCTCCTTCGACATGCCAAGCAGGAAAGACGGAAGCTTTTCCACTCCCTTCCACCCCTCTCTCTCTCTCTCTCTCTCTCTCTCTTTCTCTCTTTCTCTCTTTCTCTCTCGATGGCATATCTTATCGTATTTATAAACCCGCCTGGCTGACCCATTTTTCAAGAGTAACGCACAAGTCAAACCAAGTTGTTTGTCTGCTTCTACACAGTAATGAATGAGAAGTTCTCGTTATCTCGCAGAAATCAAGTCTCATATCGCGCGGAAATGTACATCTTTCACACAAGTGTTTCAATAATTAAAATACAATTGTCAAGATATCATTTAATGAATTGATACTACCTAATAATATACAGCCAAAGAATCAAAACTTTAATACGCTCCATTAACATTCTCTAATATCTGTACATCGCGCGACATCTGCGATCTTGGTCCTATCTCTTATAAATAACGAAAAATGATAACTATAGGCACGATTAAGGAGAAATCTAAATATGTGTGTCGTGCTTACGCACGAAGTGAATCATCGCAGAGATTCTTTTCGTCCAAAACTGCCAAAATTCGCGCAGGCTAATTTGAAATTTTGATCCTATTCCCACGCGGCCGATCGCTCCACGACACCCGCTACATCGCGGAATTGGCAGCCACGTAGGAAAACGGTGGACACCTGTGCGGTGCACCACGTAAGAGTGCCACATAATTATTAGCCGGCGAGGAACGCGCGCCACGCGCTCGTTCCCGCCAACAGCCGTGACGAAATTTTGCGAATAATATCATATATTATTTGCGAAAAAGAGCGCTTGGTCCTTGAAAAGGCGCTTGATCGTAGAAAAAAATCTCCACCACGTATCAATGTATACAATAATAATAAATAAATATGTCTAAGACATCAGAGACAAAAATACACTGAAAAAAATAAATTTTAATAAATATTTGTTTGAATAATCCCAAGTAAATATTTACAAAATGTATTTTTATATTTGATTAAAAATATAATTAATAATATATATTAAAAATGATTGAAAATACATTAATTCGAGATTAGACTACCATTTTTTTTATTAAATAAATATTTATTTACAGTAAGTAAATGACTACTTAGTACTATTCAAAGAAATATTATAAATATGTATTAAGATTTAATAAATTTTTTTCAGTATACTAAAAAGAATATTACAATCAAAATAGCTTTAATCAGACAAAAATATTGCAGATCCAAATGTGCAGTAGAAGTGATTTTGATGGAAAAAAAAATGTATTCTCCTCCGTAAATTACCGTCGACTTCCTTTTTGATCTGATCTCAAAATGCTTTTCTCCGGATAATTTGTCTGTTTTCTCGCGAGCTCGCGATTGGCAAACGGCGCGACGCCAATTCGATTGGAAAAGACTTCGGAGGGGACGAAAAAGCTTCAGTTGCGTGGAATTTACACTTGGAGCATAGCCATGCGGCGAAATAAAGTGCTAGAATTAATAATTTCCGTCGCTTCCTTTTCTTTCGTCTATTCGCACATGGCGAGACGGCGGGTCAGGTGAACGAGGCATCAATCAGAGGGAAAAGTATATATTGGCGCACTGTTCCCTTCAATGAATTCAATGAATTAATTAATTTGATCTTGAATATAAGTATTTCACAGTGCTATTAAAATGTGCATTAATATCTTTTCATTTTTTTTTAAATACTCTCTCTAGATAAAAAAAACATGGTTCCATGTTACACATGATACAAATTTGGTATAAAGCTCGCATTAGCTTTCGCATTTCTGCCTATTATTTCAGACTCGCTTGTTCTTTCGTTTCTTTGGCAGGTAACTCGCTCTTCCTTTTGAAATTTTCGAAAACAAGTCTACATGTAAATGAGCGAAATGTAAATAAATGCGAGTGGGCAGATGGCACTCGAAGATGGTGGCCGCGCGAATTCGTTCCGGCTCTGTTCGCGAATCTCGACTAGCCGAATAAACGAATTCGCTCGTGCCAAAGGCATTTTTTTTTTCAGTATAAATGTAATCGGATGCCGTTGCCGTATCCTGCGCGAATTCCATGCGAATAATTATCGCAGGAAGGATGGAGAGGAATAGTAAATCAAATATGAGATAAGATTTTCTCTTTCACACAAAATTATTCAAATTGAACATATTTAAGCTATAATAGATACAAGTATCCGTAATTTTTCGATTTACGAGCTATAAAAATAACTAAAGGTGAATATTACACAAACTCGAAAAGCAAGCGTTTAAATAAATTTCGAAAAGAGTCTCCACGACGAAGTGATAAAAAAAATAGCTAGAATACATAACATTTCAATAAAGAAGTAGAGTCACATAAAATAAGATTACATAGAATCTGTTTTTATTCCCAGTCGACTGCACTAGAATCTTCTTTCTTGCTTTCATCAAATATCAAACATATGTCTACTATATGTCTACTTCACTTTAAATTCTAAAAGTGTGTACTAGTTTAGCTAAAGAAAACAGATCTAAATATTGAATAAAGAACAGAAAACTTTACCGGAAAGCGGAAAGTTTCAGGATTCCTCTGACGGCAACAGGAACGTTTTAAGAGGAGAACGAGAGCATCGTTCGCGTCGGGACAAGCGAAAAAGGAAAAGCGGAATTCCAAGCTGCCGAGAAGATATTTGTGTCATGAAATACTCGAGAGACACGCGTACACATAGATAGCGGCTGTTTTCGTCTGGACCTCGCGTAGAAATGAAGGAAAAGCGGCAAAATCCTGGTATTTCTCAGTTCTCAGTTGTGTTCTATTTCACACGGAATAAGAAATAATTCTTATTCTCAGGTGAGTCGCGAAAATCCATCGAAGTCCCGAATGTCTTACGAGAATGGCAGCGACGATATTTCGCGTTAATGTGACGAAAAACCGCATTCTATTTTTGCATTTATGATGATGTGGTTTTTTGCAAGTGAGAAACGAGGGAAAGGAAAGTGTCCTCGCAAATTCGATCAGGATTGCCACAAATTCCTCGTCCTAAAATTCCATAACTTTTTTCCTGATTTCTAAACAAAATTTCACGATTTTTCATGATTATTTTGAATAATATTTTGACATTTTTTTGTATTTTTATCCTGATTTGGAAACCATTAAATATTAAGTTGACAGAGCAATTTAACAGCAATATAAATTATTATTAATGTGATGTTGACACGGCTTGCATTTAATTGTTAAGTTGACAATATTTCAAAACTGCATTGGTGTGATGTACGCATATCAAATTTCTTTAAAGCCATTTTAATTTTTCATAAATTTTATAAAAAATTCTCTTATTTTCCCTGATTTCCTTCACCATTTTCAATCGCATTTTAATATTTTCCTGATTTTCAATTTTGTGACCTTTCGATGTATAGACAATCATATTAATTATCAAGAAATCATAAATTATACGGTAAATCGCATGTCTTCGAAACGTGTACAGTATGTACAGCTATTCGACACTTGTTGCTCGCGACGAGTCCACGGGAGCTAATTGCTCATAATAATGTCTAATTATTAATGACGTACAAACGCAATAAACCGTGCGTGGCAATTAGAGCGGCGGTGGAGTAGAATTAGCAAATATCTCAAATATTTTCCTAAATATATTCAGATGTGGGCTTTATTAAATAAAATATTATTACATTATTATTATTATTATTACAAATTCATTCATAAAAATTATTAAAGGGATAGATCGGCACAATTTAACGCCGGCGTCGCGACATTCCTTCAACATCTCGTGGAAATCCAACGAGATCCGCGCCGAGGAGTTTAACGTACATCGAAGTCCACCAGACGAAAATAAGGAACTAAGAATAATAATTGACGGGGGACGCGCACCGTTAACGTTAAGCAGAGCTGTACGATAAGTCGCTCTGCCGCGCGCCGGCAAAAATAAACGCAAAACTATACTGAAAATAATATCATAATTTTTCGTCCCTCCCGTGAGAGAATCCGCAAAACAAGGTTGTCAACGTCGCCGTCTGCAGACTTAAAAGTGTCTGCGTCAGTTGAATCCGATCTTTTCGACCGATAGAATTTAAATCGGTTAAATGTCGTTAAGTTCCACGCAAATTATTTAACTTAATTAAATCGAAGAATATAACATAAAAAAAATCTTCAAAAGAATATAACATAAAAAAATAATAATTTAATATATTAAAACAATATTTTTAATATATCAGTTAATAAGATGTTAAATTATCTCAAGAGAGATCGCTCTCGTAATTTGCCCTCGAAATTGATATCAATACTTGGTTCTCCTTCTTAAATGTAAACATCTTCGGTCTTTAAATTCGAATTCCGTGCAATTACATACCGACAGAAACTTTCACCAGACGCGGTATTTTCGCGCGCGTCTTAATGATCCATTAAGTGAAATTACTGGGTAAGTTTAGCATCAATTTATCAGTGATTACGCAAATTACTGTCATCACTCATTTCGCGGAGAGAAAGGTAAATATTTTTCCTTCTCGCTAAACGAATGAATTGTAGGATCTCGCTATGCTTCATAATGATGCGATTGCAACGAAATGTGATTTAACGCACGAAAATCAATTGGAGTCGCTATCTTAATTCAAGTCACGAATTGTTAAGAAAAAGAAACGCAATTACAATAATAATTAAGATATTATGACATCTTTCGTGATTTTTATATTATAGAATTTAAATCGGTTAAATGCCGTCAACGCAATTCGCTTAATTAATTTAATTGGCTTAATTAAATCAAAGAATATTTTTAGAACAATATTATATAAAAAAAAAATAACAATATTAAACATCAAAACATTACAATATTTTTTTATGAATCAATTAATAAGAGTATTAAACAAACGGTATTAGAATATTATTAAGGTGTCTTACAATATTAAAATATTAAAGTATTTAATACAATGATAAGATTAAAAATAATGGTATGGAGAAGCTCTATCAAAACGAGTTCCCGGTGGAATTTATTAGGCCAACGGCGCCCTTAAAATATAAATCTACTAAATTTTTTGATTGATTTAATCACGTAGCCACGTCAGCTTCAAGCTCGACGGCACGTCGATCGGCGCCCCAGGACGTTTAAATCGCAGGAAACGAGAACCTGACCCCGATGGTTGGCCAATCGTCGTTAGTATGTACTCCGACTTTAAATAAACCGACGCAGCGAGAGGCGTAACGCTCCATCGCGAGCTTGTTATGACAGGCACGCGATACATTTGTTTTATGGCAGGGCGTTAAATTGATGCAGTGGCAGAAACTGACCGCGATCCGCTGTACAATTGATACTCGCTTCCTATTCTCCTGTTCTCTGCTTCACCTGCTTGTCAAACGGAATGGATCCTTCTGCATCCACATTATTGAGGGTTCTAAATGAAACTCTTGTGATTTTCAACGATTTTTTAAATGCAAAGAATTGGATCTTGCAGTAAAAAAGATTTATAGTTCATGTCCGTTTAAAATTGCATTTGAAATCTCAATAATGTAGATGCAAAAGGGTCCATTCTGTTTGACAGGCAAGGAGAAGGAGAATAGGAAGAAGTATTCAGTTTTGTTCATCTTTTTTTAATTCTTAGAAAAAGGAGTAAGTTGAATCGAGATTAATGTTAATCTACATTGGTGGAAACGCACGGAAAGAATGTTTTTGCTGAAATACATATTCTAAAAATTTACCTAGCTACAGATCTGAAAATAATTTCGTTGAATTATCAAAATATTTATGTAGAATGTTCAGGGATGATGAAGAATGCTGCAAAAAATTTTGATATTCCAGCAATCAGCTTGAGCGTCGTATACAATTATTTTCAGATCTGTAGATAAATTTTTAGATACTTGATCGACAAAATTCTTTTCATGCGAGAGAAGTAATTATGTGGCCAATTTAATAATCGGATTAGCAATGAGAAATATCGCGTATGAAAGCGGTAAATTATTTTCGCGATACTCAACTGGAATTATTAGAGTCACATTAAAAGAAGCTCGCCTGTTTACGTTTGCCTCGTAACAGGTTTAAAGCGTGACGTCGAGCGTTTTTACGCGAACGCACATAATTCTTACCCACGCGCGTGACAACTCGCTGTGCAAACAGCCGTCTCGTGATAGATTATCTTGTAACTTATCGTGTAACATTATCATAAATCTTGCGCAACAATCGAAACCCGTATGACGCGGGCGAAACATTCTACGATCCGTCGTCGTACGGCTAAAGATAATCCTACCGTTCCGTGTCGCGCTATGCTCTGACAAAAGCGGAGATAAGTGTACATATATATTAACGAATATATCAAATAAATGAATATATATTAATATTAATTAAGAAGTGAGGAAGGTTAATCATCAATTGTGTAAATGTAGGACTCCATATGTTTTGTAATTTTGAATAATTATGTATTCCTTTCTTAAGCCAGTATTCATAGTCGATTCTTACATTTGAGACTCTCTTGAGTACAGTCTTAAGATGTCATAAGCCAATCAGAGGACCGTATTAGTATCTTGAGACATTACTTAAGGCGGTCTTAAAATAAGAACCGACTATGAATACTGGCCTTAAAAAAACAAATAAAATGATACTGTGTAATGCTGAGAAACATAAAAAAATGCAACGATGATAAAGACTGAAGAGTAATTACATTTATTTTTCTTTTTCCCTCATGGAGGGAAGTCCTATTTTACTTTCTAAAACTTTTAGAGTGAAATCTTGCTTTTAAATATTGAATTACTCTTTTTCAAAACTAGCTCAATTTTCACTCTTTAAAGTGGGATTTTACACTAAAGAATTTAAAGAATGCGATCGCTCATGTGTAACGTTCACAATTAAGGGTTACATTAATTATTACAATAATTATCCATGACTGGTGACTAGTGATTTTTTCCCGGTGCGAATTGAAGATTTTAAGACGTTTGCAAAAGACAAGTGCCATGTCTTATGCTCTTTGCTTCCTGTTTCTTACATTTTGTCTGTTTTCTTTATTAAAATTAAACCACATTAATAAAAAACAATTCAGCAAACGAGAATGGATTGAAATGAATTGAAATGGATTCAGATTTTCAGAAATATTGATTCACAAATGTTAAAATGAATTTCAATCCTGAATGCATTTTTATTCATTTATAGAAATTGCATGGAGCACATCTCTATACCTTTCAATCTCAAAATAATATTAGCTTTTTCTGTGCAATCGTGAATACTGTTCACAATTGCACAGAAAAAGTTAATATTGTTCAATTCAAAATTTTGAATAGGAAATACAGTTTTTTAATCCAATTGAATCCAATTGAATCTAAAAAAAGTATTCGTTATTTAAAATACGCATTCGAATAGAAAAAAATTTCAATCCATTTTCGTTTGCTGGGAAGCATAAGGCTCGATTTCATTGTAATGTAAACATTAATCTCGATTTAACTTACTGTTTATCCTTTTCTAACATCAATTCTTATCAATGCAAATTAACTTTAATCTCGGCTTAATTTACTTACATGCATCCTTTTTTTAGAACTAATAAAAGATAAAAGTAAATTAAACCAGATTGAAGTTAAGTTGCATTGATAAGAACAGACATAATTTTTAAAAAAAGATAGAGAGTGAATTGAACGAGGTGAGTTAAATTTTATATTGATGGAATCGATGTTTAAAACGGTGTTCCTGAGATCTCGAAGCCTTCTCGCGGAAGCGCATTGTTGTCGCGGCGCGTATCCATCCGGTGCATTCCATCGCAGGTGTATTTTCGTGCCGCGTGGAGTGTCCGCCGCCGTAGCCGCGAGTAAAAGTCAAAGAGCGTGCTCCGTTTCTTTCCCCCTTGCTCCTTCACGACGCGGAGGAAGCGACGGATGAGAAGACGCCACTACCGTCGCCACCGTCGTCGTCCATGTCGACGACGACGGCGGCGATCAACCTGGAACGCCGCTTTTAGATCCGAACTTTAGTCGGACTCACCGGACGGTAACCATCGGAGATGTTCGACGGGCGATGTTGTTGTGCACTTCCTCCTCTTCCTCTTCACTACACACCTACACCTCGTCCGTACTGGAAGAAGGAAAGGACCAACACTGTGATCGTTCGCCCCCAAAGAAGATCCCGTATCCGGATCTATCTCGTGGAAACTCGCTTTTCGTCTCTTGTGGAGATTTCACCTGTCACCGTGCACGATCGTGGTACACGCGAATCGTGATGGTCTTTTAATCTCTCTTTCTCTCTTTCGCGTCCTGTCTTCCCACTCACGTTTTTCTTTCTATCTTTTCCTTTCTTCCTGTGTTTCTAGCCACACTGATTTCGCGTTTTCTCTTTCAAGAGCTGACGAGCGGAGCAGCTACCGTCCGTCGGGGCCACCGATCAGCTGTGCACTGCGTATCGACCACCGCGCTGCTCGGCCGAGACTTTCGTCCCGGCGCGTCGCGACGCCTTGCGTCGCGGACGACGGCGGACGAGACGTTTCGCAAGTAATTTAATATTTTGTCGATTTCTCCGGAGCGAAACGATCACGAACGTCGACGACCGCACGAAGCGATGGGAGCTCGCGCGATCACGTAGTCAAGATGGCCGTCGATAAGAATAAAGTGGCCGTCCCTATTTATGAATGGAAGTCGCGTCACGACAGCTCGCCGCGGTTATGAGGAACGAGAGGCATCGAGAGGTGCGATGACGGTCGCTGAGAGAGAGAGAGAGAGAGAGAGAGAGAGAGAGAGAGAGAGAGAGAGAGAG